AAAAAAAAAAAAAAAAAAAAGGCGAGAGGAAAGAGAAAAGAACAAGAAAGAACAACGATGGGTCTGTACTCCTGCGTCCGAATGAGGAACAGCCGCAAGCACGAGTCGCGGAACAGAGGACACGTGGCAGCAGATCACGCGGCCTCAGCGACATGTGGTGGCATGACACGTGGAATACAGGATACGCGACTGTCAGGACACGTTAGCAGCACGACCTCATGCCAATCATGCGAGCTGCACGACGGCAAGCAAGCAAAGAGAAACGAAAAAAATTGGTTGAAAAGTTATGACACGTACCATTTTGTGCTGTCGTGCTGCTCGCACGACATTTATGCGATGCGGCGCGACACGTTGCTGTTCTAAAAATAGCAGAACCACCCCATAATCACCTACTCGATTCACAAGCATTGCCTTTCTACCTGCTCCATTTCAATTGCCAGCCAATCAGACAGAGTCAACCACTGCAAGTTATTGCACGTGTCAAGCACGACACGTGGCAGGCATGACACGTGGCAGTTGTTGCACGTGGCAAGCAAGACACGTGGGAGACAAGACACGTTTCAGTCGCGCATCGCAGCATGATACGCTGCTAGGCGTGAAACGTGGCAGGCGTGAGACGGCACGTGGCATGCATGGATACGTGGCAAGCGTGAGACGGCACGTGGCATGCATTGATACGTGGCAAGCGTGAGACGGCACGTGGCATGCATCTATGAGACATGGCGGCACGGCACGTGGCAGGGCAATATGGCATGACACGACGGAACCATTGACAGTTGACATGTAAAATCGCATGACACGAGGCACTCATAGTACATGGCAGGGAAGGCAAGTGGCATGCATCGATACGTGACATGATGAGACGTCGAGGGCATGACACGTGGCAGGCAAGACACGTCACAGGCAATGCACGTGGTAAGCATTGACACGTGGCGGGCAATAAGGCATGACACGACTCAGGAATTGACACTTGGCAGGCAAAATGGCATGACACGAGGCAGTCATACGTAATACGTGGCCGCCACGGCACGTGGCATGACTCGATACGTGGCACGGTGAGACGTCGGGGGCATGACACGTGGCAGGCATGACACGTGGAAAGCACAGGCCATGCACGCGGCAGGCATTGACCCGTGGCAGTTACCGCACGTGGAATGCAGGAGACGTCGAGTGCGCGACTCGCGTAAAGCATGACGCATGTCAGGCATGACACGTGGCAGGCACGACACGTGACTGTCCTTCCTCTTCTTTTTATTTTTTCTTTTTCTTACAGAACTTCCTGTCTTTCATTGCTTGCTTGCTTGCGCCCATGAACATACGTCATGATACTGTTGTGGTAATGAATGTGATCGGAATGGAACAGACGGTTGACTCTTTTCCATGTACCGGACCAGAAAGGTAGCTTCTATACATTCATCGTCAGGGTACATACATTATGGTTATGTCCGGGGGAAGAGACGTGGAGACTGGTGAAGGCACGACACGTGGCAGGGACGACCCGCGGCAGGCATGACACGTGACGACACGTCGTGGCAGGCATGACGCGTGGCGGGCACGACGCGCGGAAAGCATGACACGTGGCATGACACGTGGCAGGGACGACACGTCGCTGTCCTTCCTTTTTTTGTTTTTGTTTTTGGTTAAAAAAAAAAAAAAAATTCTCTCTTTCATGGATTGCCTGCGCCCCTGAACGTGATGGTAAGGTAAGTTGACACGCTTTTTCCCCCGAATACAACGCGGGGTCAGCATGCAGAAGGGAGAGAAAGCAGGAGGTGTTCACTCTCTCGAATAGTACGCAGGGCCTTCACAACGAATGTAGAGAAAAAGAGTATAATAGGGCGGTACTCACGCTGGAATTTTCCTGGACGCATCTGACAGCATTTGTGGCCATATTCGTTGCAGAGAAAAAGTCCCAGTCTTTGAGCTGTGCGACTTCTCTAGTCCAGGGCACCTCCTCCTCCTCCTCCTCCTCCCCTCCTCTTTCGTCTCTCATCAGTGGGACGAATCCTTCTAACCGATGAAGTTTCCGTGAACATACCTCCTCATCTCCCCTCCCCTCCTGTTCCCTCTCTCATCGGATGGACAATTGCTTACCATGAAGTTTCCTTGAACATTCCTCATCTCCTCGATGAAGTTTCCGTGAACATACCTCCTCATCTCCCCTCCCGTCCTGTTCCCTCTCTCATCGGATGGACAATTGCTGACCATGAAGTTCCCTTGAAGATTCCTCATCTCCCGCTTGCTCTGCACCGAATAGAACTGATGGTGTCATTAAGGTCGTTGCTAAGAGTAGAGGCCTCGCTCCACTACACAACACTCTACCTGCATTTGGACGGTTTCTGGACCAGATACGTTCAAAATGTTGGACTCGTGGTCAGCAACAACGCGCGACCAAAATGCATGTAGAGTGCTGCGTAGTTCACCGAGGCCCCTCTACTGCACACCATCCTACATGCACTTGGACGGTTTCTCGGCTCGTCCCAATGCACGCGGACCGGAACAGACGACCAATGGGCCTACCCTTGTTCACCCGAATACAACGTACGGTCATTACAGCTGTATTTAGACTGAAAGATGCCCCAAATACAGCTCTAATGACCGTACGTTTGTATTCGGGGGAAGACTATTACAGCTGTATTTAGACTGAAAGATGCCCCAAATACAGCTCTAATGACCGTACGTTTGTATTCGGGGGAAGACTACAGCTCAGTTGGTATATCCATGATCTGTTGAAATACAGACCCAAGTTCGAATCCAGATGCTATCAGATGAACGGAATAAAATAATTAATAGTAATTCTGAATTGCTTGGGGCAGGTCACCTCAGCGTTGATATCTTTTTCTTTTTTTTTTTTTTTTTTTTTTCTTTTTTCCCTCAACGTTGATATCTCGAGGCCGTCGTCCTTCTTCGAAAAAAGTGAAAAAAGGAAAAAAAAGAATGGAACAGACGGCAGACTGTTTTCCCGTCTTCCCTCGAACGGAACGACCCCCCCGCCCCCTTATGCACGTACCGAACCAGAAAGATAGCTTGTATACATTCATTATCAGGCTGCGTTATATTCGGGGGAAGACGGGTGATCTCATCAGACTGAGCTATGACGGAGTCGAGGGTGGAGAAAGAGACACGTGACTAAGCTGTGATGTACCTGACCGGAAATATGGCTCATATACATTCATTACCACGGCTCAAGATCTCGTAGGAACAGGTACGTGCCGGTCACCTGTAACAGTCCGGCCAGACACGTGATTTTATTTTATTTTATTTTATTTTATTTTATTTTATTTTATTTTATTTTATTTTATTTTATTTTATTTTATTTTATTTTATTTTATTTAAATATACGTGATTTTTCCGCTTTCAGAAGAGGAAAAGGGGTGCCTGGATGGCACGGGCAATGGAAAATCTTTCTTTTTTTTTTTTTTTTTCGGTGGGGGGGAGGGGAATAAAGCTTGTGGGAATTTTAATTTTACATGACACGTGGAAAAAGAATCCGCGTGCAAAAATCACACGCGAAGTACACGTGGCTAGCTGTCTCGTCCAGTCACGTGACGCGTGAAAAGTTTTTTTTTTTTTTCCCGCTCCTTTAATCGAAAAACTCCTTTTAAAAAAATAAAAATTTTAAAAATAAAAAGAACTCCTTAACAACGGATATATCTGACCCCATGCAGATGGGGTGAAAGAAGAATTTGAGAGAAGAATACAGCTTAGACCAAAAAAAAAAAAAAAAAAAAAAAAACACTTCTTCCACGTGTTTCGACGGCATCAGTGTCGGGGGATATGCTCATATCACCCTTCCTATTAGGTCCACCGAGTCTTAAACAGAAAAAGAGAATAAAAAAAAAAAAGAATAAAGAAAAAAAAGAATAAAAAAAAAGAAGGGTTGCGTGCATCTAATCTTATATATAAACAATGGTTAACGAGTGTGCAGAGTTCGAACCGTGGGGACGAGGCCCCAATAGCAAAGAGGGTCGGATTGAAAATGCTTGAATCTGGACGTGTTTGTGGAAAGATGCAGAACATCGAGATTGAATTGGTTTTCTGCATCCCTGCTGAAAACACGTCCAGATTCAGGAGCTA